ATGCTACACACAACCACGCCCTCGCACCGAGACAACAAGCTGCCGTCCACGTCCACGAGAACAGCGGAGTTGAACAGACGTGCCACTACTGCGGCAATCGTGGCTGCAGGGTAGGCACCTGCGAGTTCACGGAGATTGACATTTGGGACGGCAAGTGCAAACGGAACACCAAAGGCAAGATTGTCCTTCCAAATGGAAGTTTTTGCCCCTGCACTATCCCTGGTCTCACAATACGAGATTGAATCTATGAGTGGCATAGAAGAAATCCCGCAGCACCCGCCGCTCCGACGATGCTCTTCGAGATCGACGATCGCTCGACTGTGCAAACATTCACGCTCAACACCAGCAGCAGGATCGAGGCGCTCGAGCGAGAACTCCTTCAGCTTCGGAAGTGAAGGGAGGTCTTCGACGGCGTCGAGATTCTACAGCAGAAGAAGCCCACGACGCCAGTCGTCACGAGAAGCGCGGAAGCCTCGGGATCTGGTACATCGAAAGGAGTGGCGGCACCCCCGAGCACTTTGACAAGCACGGCCCCGCCTCCGACGATACCAGCAGCATCGCCTTCGCCGCCTACGCAATCCACGTCTCAACCTATTGCTACATCCGCTCCCCCAGCACCACCAGTACACCCCTTCGCAAACGCTCGCGATGCAACATACACCCCGCCGAACGTTCGAAACTTCGCAACTCCGCCGAAGCCCTCAAACGACAAGGGCAAGGAACCAGCGTACAAGACCATCGTCCCCGTTATCCAGCCGAAGCTTGCCGAGGAAATCTTCCAGCGTTCAATGAAGTCACAGTTCGTCACGCTGACCCCAGAAGAGTTGCTGTCGATCACGCCCGATGTTCGAACCAAGTACCGCGACGCCATCACCCCTAAGCGAGTCTTGACGTAACCCGTCGCATTGGCCCACATCGTAGAAATCAGCGCCGACGAGGTCACGGCTGTTAACCAGCTCTCGTGTTCAGGCGCAATGTTGGAACCCGGTGCTACAATCGTCCCAGACCCCTATGAAACATATCTGAAGCACATCCCTCATGGCGAGTACCCCGCAGAATTCACTGTCACATGTGATTTGAATGTGATTCGTTCAATCATCACATTGATCGACAACAAAGAGCAGATCGAATGCATCGTCGACCCAGGGTCGCAGATTGTCGCCATGTCGGAGGAGGTCTGTCTCGGCCTCAACCTCCTCTTTGATCCTACTATCCAGCTGAACATGCAATCGGCGAACGGCGAGGTGGACCGATTGTTAGGACTCATTCAAAATGTTCCCTTCTGCATCGGTGAGATCGTATTGTATCTCCAGGCTCACGTCATTCGAAACGCAGCGTACAACATCCTCCTTGGCTGACCCTTCAACATGCTCACGCAGAGCGTCGTCAAGAACTTCGCCGACAAGAACCAGACCATTACAATCCTCTGCCCGAACACCGGCAAAACCATCACAATTCCGACATACACGCAAGGAAGATCACAAAGCCAGCAGCATCCTTTTGAGTGTCGCAAGTCACATTTTCTTGCTTCGAGGAATCGATTCCCCATGATCAAGGAGAAGCCATGCTAGTCATCGACTACGATGGGGTAAAACCGAGTATTTCCTTCATCTCTCCTATTGATTCCTCAATTCCGAACGCTGTTTCGTCACTGTACCTCTCCGCATGCACCTCTGTTTCTTCATATTTGCAGTCTCTTTACGCCTCAGACAGTAGAGCTTCTAATGCCGCTCCGTCGAACGCTTCGATGTGGGCTTCGACTCTTCTATTTTCAGCTCCGTTCGCTTCGACTCCGCCATCTCCCGTTCCGATGAAGTCCATCTCACAGTTTTCCAACTCGATTCTTCCCTTTCCTTCGACGACATCGACTTCTACCCCTTCAACGCACAAGATCCTCGCCGCGACAAAGAAGAAATACAAGCCTGTCGCTCTCAAAACCAGACCTGTCCTTGGTGCCGTTCCCGAACAATTTCAAATACTTCGAGACATCAAGGACGACCCTCTATCCATCATGCCTAAGCTTTCGACCAACCCCCCGCCGTTCAAACCTACCGGTCAGTACACCCTCGAGCGCTTCGAAGCAACCGATAAGCTTCACGATGGCGACTTCTTACTACCCGACGAACGTCGAGTCCTCCACCACTTTATGTGCCTGCACAATGAAGCCTTCGCATGGACCGACGACGAGCGCGGATGCTTCAAGCCCGAGTACTTCCCCCCCATCGATTTCCCCATTGTTCCTCACACGCCCTGGGTGCAGAAGAATATTCCCATTCCGCCCGGGATCTACAACGAAGTCTGCGCGGTGATCAAGCGAAAGATCGCCGCCGGAGTCTACGAGCCATCGAACTCGTCGTATCGATTGCGGTGGTTCTGTGTCGTCAAGAAGGATGGTAAATCTCTTTGACTCGTCCATTCCCTCGAGCCCCTCAATGCAGTTACGATCCAACATTCTGGTGTACCGCCGACGCCTGAATACCTCACAGAACAATTTGGAGGAAGACCATGCGGCGGCATGCTCAACCTCTACGTCGGCTACGACAAACGACTCATCGCCAAATCTTCGAGAGATCTAACGACGTTCCAGACACCCTACGGAGCCATGCGCCTAGTCACACTCCCAATGGGTTGGACGAACTCGGTCCCGATCTTCCACAACAACGTCACCTACATCCTCCAGCCCAAGATTCCGCACATTACAGTGCCCTACATCGACGATGTTCCCGTCAAGGGTCCCGAATCCGACTACGATGACGAACGGCTCCCTTCGAACTGCAGCATTCGATGCTTCGTATGGGAGCATTTCGAGAACATGAACCACGTAGTCACTCGAATGCGCTACGCCGGAGGTACCTTTTCAGGAGTCAAGAGCGTCCTCATCACTCGAGAAATCATGGTGGTAGGTCATCGCTGCACTCCTCAAGGTTGCCTCCCCGACAACTCTCGTGTCACTGCGATATGCAACTGGGGTGCATGCGCTACTCTATCTGACGTTCGAGCGTTCCTCAGAACCATCGGCGTTGTTCGTATCTTCATCCATAATTTTGCTCACTGCGCCGACGTGCTCGTACGCCTCACAAGGAAGGACGTCAAGTTCGAGTTTGGTCTGGAGCAAATCGCGGTGCAGGAAGACCTCAAGGACGCGCTACTCTCATCCCCCGCACTCCGAGCCCTCAATTATGATTCCCCCTCTCCCGTCATTCTCGCGGTCAACACGTCGTTCATTGCCATCGGATATCACCTCTGCCAGTGCAACGAAGCCAACACGCGAGTCCGTTACTACAGCAGGTTCGGCTCGATTACGCTCAACGATCGCGAACGAAGGTTTTCGCAGCCGAAGCTTGAGATCTACGGCCTATTCAGCGCACTACGATCCCTTCGACTCTACCTGATCGGCGTTCGGAACCTCATCGTCGAAGTCGATGCTCGGTACATCAAGGGTATGCTGAAGAATCCGGACATCGCCCCAAGCGCGAGTATTAACCGGTGGATCGTCTCGATTCTCACATTCCATTTCACGCTAGTCCACGTCCCCGGTACAATGCACGGCCCCGACGGCCTCTCTCGACGCACAGCTCAGCCTGGTGATGCCATCAAAGACGAGGTCGACGAAGAGTTCGACAATTGGATCGACCAGATGCATTCTTTCGTTCACCAGATTCAGCCCCTCCCATCCGTCCAGTTGCTGGCCATCTTCACCAATGACAGAGCCGAGGATGGCTCAGATTTCAATAGGGAGGAGGATAGCTACAAGCTAGTGCCTTGATCGGAGCAAGCGCAACTCGCTGATGCGAAGCTCGACGACATGCTCGAATTTCATCGAACGTTAGCAAAGCCCAAGGACATCTCCAAAAGTGTTTACGAAGGGTTCATCAAATACTGCATGCAATTCTTCCTCGACAACGACACCCTCTGGCGCAAGGACAGTCACGGAGCACACAAGCTAGTCGTCAAGCCCGGCGATCGCCTTCGGATACTTTGAGAATGCCACGACCGCACCGCGCATCAAGGAATCTATGCAACCCGAGCCTTTGTCAATGAGCGATTCTGGTAGCCGTTCCTGTCGCGACTTAGGGTCGAGCGACAGGGGAAAACCAAATGCTGGGGGCGTTTGACTTATCTCACCGAAGCGATGGTGAGCTAGGCTCAAACCTAAGGCTAGGAACAAGATGATATATTAGTTAGGTAAGAAAAGGAATACAAGGGATGCTTACTGACCTAGGGACAAGAGGTCGAAACTGAGGTCCCTAGGGCAGCAGAGGCCGGCTTATATACATGAGGGGATTAGGGCAGGCTGTGCGTGTTGGTCCGTGTGCAGCTGGTCCGTGCGTAGCATGCT